ATCCCAGACAATGAATGAATATTTGAGCAGGAGCATGGATCGACGGTATTTAAACATCAAGACGGTTAGATGTTGGCCCAGTGATCCAGAGGATAAGCGTTCGCGCGTGAGACCAGAGCTCATCGGTTTGAGTCCCACGTGGGGGGCTGTGGGTGTACACAGCTGAGGAGCCCCATACTAGGATGGAACGGCAGCACAGTGCTCAAGCTTTCACTGGCGGCCTAGCTTAGGTTGACCCGTGAATCTAACTTTGAAAATAGCGAAAAAAGTTTTTTACTTATGAATTTAAGCGTTGTATTTCTATTTTCCACGGCATCAGTTCAAGACTTTGTGAAATGGCTTAGGGGTCAATTTAACTGTCATAATGATTGCTTTGTGTTTAATTGCCTGCTGATTACGAATTTTAAATATAATACGTCTGTTGGTGCTCATCTAGTTTTACTTGCTTTAAATCGACCTATTTTGGGGATTCCTAGTTATTACATTAATTAAAATACTTCTTATCATCATGCTATATCCAATATCTAGGTGTTTAACCATCGTTAAAGTAAAATTTCCCATGTCGACATTTGGTAAAAGGAGTTATGATAAAAAACTGACTGAAATGTTATACACTTTTACTGCTGTTGTAATAAAACGCCTCCTCGGTCGATTCTCAGTGATGCCGCCTAGGCATAGAAAAAATTTATAGCTCAGGTGGATGATTGTTCCTGATAACCACAGAGTTACTTTTAGATCTCTTTTAAAGTGATAGCTCACTATTTGCAAGTAGAAATTAATATAGATATGGTGAACAGATGATTAATTCATCACACAATTAAATATTTTATTCTATGCTTAAATTGTCGTAACATTATATCATATAATTTTGCTCACTTACAAAATATGTTCATGTTTGTATCGCCAAAGTTTTAAACTAATTAGGATTTTCAGTAATTTGTCACACTATTACAACATCATAATAACTTTTCGATAATTATTCTTCACATCATAACCTATTTTTAAAAACATTCATTTTTGCTGACATTTTCTGCATTTTCGTAAGTAAATCTTAAACCTGAGACAATGGCGAGCTAAATCAATTGTTTTATTTATGATGTATGAGAATGTAAAAGAATGGATATATATGTACAGATATATAATGGCCCTAAATTTGACTCCATTTATATCGTATGAATGATTGCTATCGAAACATACATTTTACTAATCCTTATAAATAATCATCAAATTAAGTTGCGTTAGGGAGTAAAGAAATTAAATAAGTCAAATACGAGAATGAAGTTTGGATGTGTATATTCCTTATAATCGTTGATCAGAACAGACACTCAGAGTGACAGAGAGAACGAAGCAAAATAGAGAAAGAAAGGCTAAACTAGATGACGTGCAATGTAGAAGGTTCCTGAGACAAGTGTGAATCGATATTTATAGTGGACATCTTATGAGTAAGATAAGAAATACACACATGCGCTTACATAAAAAACCAAGTTTGATAAGCGAATAATTAAGAAGGTCAACGCGTGGCTCAAGAGGAATAAACAAACCGATATATCTAAAAGCTAGAATAAGTTATATGGGCTTAACATAGCAGCCGATACAACAGATATATCCTAACCATAGATTCAATACATAGATCAGATAAGGAGCAACTCACTTGTCTCCGAAAACCATGAAAAGTCAAAACCAACAATACACACTTTATGAATACTTGAAAAATTAACTGACCACTCTTAATACTTTCAGTAGCCATATCGCTTGAACGAACAGTTACAGGTTTCTTTGATGTCTTCTTTCTTTTTTTCGCAACAGGAGGCTTCAAAGATGTTGGTTCATCATTATTTGGTTGAGTTACGGCTAATTTTGTTTTATCGCTATCTAAGGAATCAGGAAACTTTAAATAAGTGCATAATATATAAAAAGATTTCAATACAAACCTGACGAGACTTGTGCTTATGTTTTGTTCTGTGGCTTGATTCAGGTACTCCCACCTCTTCGTGATCAGAATTAGAAAAATGCTTGCTGATAAGTATTCAAATAGGTCGGCAGTTACCTGGATTTTTTTAGCTAACTCATCCATCGTTAATTTTTAGAACCAATTTAAATAAGTGCCGAAAGTATGTAAATTGACAACTGCAACCTTGAGAAATATATAAACAAACAGTTTGAATGCCAGAAATCATGTATCCAGCTAAGCTACTATTCTGCAGAAACAAGCGTTTTACAGTGTATTTTGATTTTTTGTGAGCAACTGGAGATACAATACTACACAAAATTTAGAATTTGTGTTTCTTAATTATTGAACAATTTCTTTTGGAACGTGGGATCAGATTGAAGAAGTTCTCAAAGGAAAAGCGAAACCATTGTGAAGTTTTTTTCTAGAACCGATTGATAAAGCAAGTTAAATATTAAAAGTAAGATTGATCGTGGCGTCTCACCTCAAGTAATTATTATCAGTACCTCCTGAACATCTAGATATCTTTTTATAACTATAAAAATTCTTGTTACTATGACATTGAAATCCATAGATTGGTAATTATAATTACAAAGAAGTTTCCGGAGTTTTTGTTGTAGTATAGTAAACAAGCGTAAGAAATGAACATATATCGAGGATTAACTGTCGCTTGTCTTAATTGTGACAATCCATTCCTCTACTAATTTTTCATCATATGAAAGGGCTTGGAGGTCTTACCTGTATGCCAAAATGAAATGCTATTAAGTCGAGAGTGCCTTTGGACACTTGCGAAAGTGTCCAGGGTAATTCAGTCACGCTAAATTGGTGAGCTGGTTAGGGCAACAAGCTTTAACTAGTGTTCTATATCTTCATTTACTTACTCTTATCGAAACACCTATAGGCTCAAAGCTGTCACATTAAAACTGTAAAGTTAACAAATATTTAGTAGTGAAACTTAGTGTTGAAACGAATAATATTGCATGAGGAGTCAGCGTAAAGACGACAATCCTGGAGAATTTTTTGAAACCATTGATACATACCCGTTGGACTAACCTGCTCTTAAATGTAGCTTCATTGATCTCTATGTAGGTATGTATATTAACTAATAGGCTGTGTTCTGTGCTAGAATCTCATGAACTGTTGTGGAACGGTGTTAACTTCGTCAAACAGAACAAGTAGTGATTCGGCCCAGATACCATATAAAGCAACAGTTTCCACTTCGTCAGTTCAGCATATCACATTCTTGGAATTATGTATGGAAGTTTAATCTTGAAGTGATACCAGCGCGGATATCACCATAATTACGACATTTCACCAATTCGGAATGGTATATATTCCATGCACCATAAGAGGTTGTCTCATAGAAATGAAATCAAAATCGGAGTTGGACACTTGCCACTAGACTTCAAAATGTTTGTCATTTTTTAAGTAAAATATCACATACCTGCACGTAAACAGATTGGATTGCTTCCAGCGTCAGATCATTCCCTTCTGCATAAGTCCCCAGATTTTGTACTTGCCTGATTTCTGAGGTTGAATGGAAAATATGAAGCTCGAAACACAACACCTTCACTAAAGAGAACAAGATCCGGAACAACTGGTACTCCAATAAATATGCTGTTTAGTCTACCTTGATACCATCCAGCCGTTAATAAAACGTTTTAATATTGCTTTTGTATGTTCTTGCCAATTGCTTTGGAAATTCATTTATGTTCTTGTGTTTACCTTGGCTAAGCCAACAAATAATAGGAGTGCCTCAAATGGTCGGTTACGAAAACTTAATACTCGATAAAACAGTCATACGAATACGGGTAATCCTTCAGATTCCTGTTATTGTTTTGGACTGTCTGTTTCTTTAGAATGTAAACCTAAAGGAGCTAAGACACTTCTCTGTACTCTTAAACTTGTGTAGCTTATGACTATAATATCTAATGTTGACCCCCTTCATGTTACTCGGGTAATATTCATAGCTAACTGGGGAAGCGTGACTGCTTATATAATTCTAAGCCTGAATCACAAAACTGACATTTACTAATTCTGGACTGCGATGATGAGAGGTAACATTTCAAGTCATCCATGAGTTTCTGCTTGGAGAAGTTAAAAATGTTTCCCCGCGCCCAACTTCCAAGGGGCACATATCTACAGTAAGATGACGTTATGTACCACGAGCCGTTAATTTTTAACAAGTGGACTTCTGAAGTATTTTTTTCTTAACAGAAGGCACTTAAAAGGTTTACCGCCCTTCAGCCTAGTAAGTAATACTTGAAGTGGATTGCTTATCGAACGACTACCAAACCGTTGTCTATTTCCTAGTTAAATCACTTTTGAATGTTTATATACAATTTCTAGTGAATCATTTTAAAGCACATTAATCGTATGAATGAAGAAATGTATCGGACTAATCGAATCACTCATTGTGTGTTACTTCTTGCATATTTTCCAAAGTGAACAAAATCAAGCAATGTGATTGCTCGTGGAAATACTTGACTACCTGAGATTTTTTTCTAGATCATTTTCTATTTTATTTTTTATACTAATTTGACGATACATACATAGTCGTTTATTCTTGTTCTGTGTTCATAAACACGCCTATCAAGCTATTTGCGTATTTCACGTCTCCTTTATTTCTATTCCCTTATTTTCTTCCTTTCCTTCTTTAAACTCAATTCAATATTCTTCTCAATTACAAGGAACCTGATTAATTATTATTACTCTCTTTTTCAAATATGGCAGACATAATGCTAACATTATTGAGATTTATGTATTATTGCATTTCTGAAGAAATTCAAGATCATCATCATTGTAGTCGTCGTCGTGTTTTGGGGCTAATAAATCTTCACTTATACCAGTCTTGTGTTCTTACTTTGTGTCGTGAGAATTGCAGGGGTCTCTTGTTCTAAATATAAGTGATCAGCGTTTTTTCGGCACAGCAATCAGTGACGACCAAACATAACAGTAACACACAGAGGACAGGATATTAACTGGTAACAGAGATGAATGGATGTGAAAGCTGATCATTCAACTACAAATTATCCACATATACAAATATAAGTAATACACGATACAATAGTGTTATATTCATAAATAATTAAACAACTGAATAAATATCTAAATGTTGTACAAATAACAATATCGTATCTCTGATTGCAGTACGTGTACTTTCATCCATGCAGATAATATGACTGCCATGATCATGCAAACAAATCAGTGTATTTGGATTTGGCTGAAAATTAGAGACAGAATTAGACACAAGTAGAATGTAATGAAGCACAGGACCTATGGTAACTGAAAAATAATAGTATCATTCAGTGATGTCAATATAACAAGAAAATAATCACCTACACCTAGACTACCCATATTACCATCCTTAAACCTCATTGATTTGAATTGATTCTTTTGAACTTATATTTCGCATACTTAACCTTCCATATCACTTAGTAATATTTGAATGATGTTCCCTCTCAGTGTTAGTGTGAAGTGCCCCACCATGAATTGATGTGCAATCAAGTTGGGTTTTAGTTAGAAAATAAATTAAGCGGGATAACAATTCTTAATACACACTGGGAATAACAATAAAGGTGTTCAGTGACATTGGCAGAGATGAACGTGACTCAACTTATTCCGGTAGTACAGTGTATATCTATCGTAACAAGTCAGCTAAAACTTGCTGACTAGTGAGCTTACCCCATGTGCAGAATTCCAGAGTAAATGATGAAAGTAAAAAAAAAATAAGGAACTCTATGATGTTAAGAAGTAGCGCTAACTAAATACGATATTTTAAAAACAACATTATGCATCTAATGGATAACCATCATTTATATCAATGCTGCCTTTCCGTAGTCGGAAGTTCAGGTTAGAGATCAATTTCGCAAGCATATATTTTCATTGATTTATGGAGTTATAATGCTGTGTGATTCCATCTAACAAGATTCACTCGAGGTAAACTGCTATGGTCCCAGTCATTTACTTCGACAAGTAACGAATAATTCATCTTTTTGAATAATAGCTTCCGTCCTATGCCATTTGGAGACGAAACAAGTAAGATGGTTTTAATGTTTTTCAATAAAGTAACACACTGAATAATCAAAAAGACCACTATTATCCGTTAAACAATCTTTAGAGAATATAAGTAAACAAAGATTCAACAACTTACAAATAGAATTACATCTTCGTTTTGTATAGGACCTGATTGTTTATTAGTATTATATACAGAAAATCGCGAATATACTTGACGTGCAGTGCACGGATCAGCAAGATAAGCACCAGTAACACCACGTTCTGTTAACTTTCGTATCAACTCATGTGGGTTTATTCTGCTTGACTCATCGCAACAACTAACTAATATACGTTTTTCAGAATCTAACATATTGGATTTCAGTATAGAATCTTTAGATTGATCGCTAGCGTTGCTTAACGAGCTTGTTGTTGCTGTTGTTGTGGCGGGAACAGAAGTGCTTGTGGTAGTTGGAGGAGTCATAGGTCGTATAATGGCATCTTCAACAGGTCGAATAATATCTGGTTCTAGCTTCTCATGTTTACCAATCAACCAGTGTTTACCTGTAAAATTTATGGATCAAAAGTAGACAGTAATAACAATGACAATTTGATAATAACTGCTCAGAGTCAATGAGCCAGACTGACAGTTACATAACCTGTTAAATGAGTGACTGATCATCTACATGTTCAAATAGTCAGACGTTATTAAAAGTAGTAGTATTCTGAAATTATGACATATTAAGTTACAAGTTTAGTATTAACCCAGTGAACTGAATTGCTTTCAGTTGACATGTAATATATAGTTCAAACAAACTGACTCCACTGATCACGGATTGTCACTAGAACTACAGTTGAATCATGAAGCCAGTTACGAGTGGGCACGCGATAATAATTAGTATAGGGCGAGTCCCATACTATAAGACAGTCATCCGGTACTTCTAAGTTCTGAAGGTTGGTCTAAGATCAGTTAGTGATTTCAATTATCAAAATCCTACAATCTCCCAAAATCCATTGTACTAATAAAAACCACATGTTTAAACTACAAATAATGAACAAAAGGCTATATCTTCAAGTTAAGTTAAAAGTAAAGAGTAATATGATAACAATAAAGTACAAAAAGTCAACGTATAACGTACGCTTAACAGCTCAAAATCGTTTGGAATTGAGCTACTTCGTTCACTGTATGTGTTCCTTTCGAACCATTCTACTTATCGTCTTTTTATTTTTCTAATCCCAATCGTTCTCACAAAACCGTTACTATTACTACTTCACCTATTTTGGAATTCGTCTCGAAATAACTCTATCTCGCTGTGCTAATATAGTTCGACAATTTGGATCGACGCATATGTGCATCATGTTTTACGTTGTGTATGACTGATTGACGTACAGTTTTAACTTACTCCCAAAATAAATGTAAGTCTCATTTACCAATTACAAGTCTATGGTAATCAGGTTTAAGTTATACTGTTTGTAATCAAATCGCTAATGATATTACTCGTGTAACAAATCCGAGATAGTGTGGGCATATTTTGAATTCATGATCCTTTATTCGTAGAAAACAAGGTTTCTTCACCACCAAACTGTGAATAAACTCCTTCAAAATTACGAGATGTGAAACTTGTATACGAGGAAATTTTACGGAATAACTAATAGATATTATCCTCGCTCACACAAATGGGTTAATAGCGGAGGCGATCTCAGACAGAAAGCATGTGGAATCTAGAAACGAAAGAGTGACAAGGAGATTGTAGATAACCTATTTATTCACTTAGCAAGGTTACTATCTAAACATGTTTATCTGGACCACTATAGCACTATGTATATATGAGCATGATTAATCAATGTATTGGGTTTTCAATATAAGGCTTTTTCCTCAATATTAGACTTTTGTTTTTTCAAAGATGGTTTGGTCAACCGTCAAGAAGTGTGCATATCATGATCAGATCAGACAGGATATCATACTGCAAGAAAATATAGCACATTTAAATGTATATCACTATAATTTGTGAAAAAATTTAACTAAGACAGAATAACTTCAATCAATCCATGATCTTACGTAACCATCCCTCCATTGTCTGAGGTAGATACCTATCTCTACCTGACACGGATTGAACTCCACTGACCACGGGCTTGGGTTCGAACCTCGCTAGGCGAGATTGTGGATGAGCACTACCGAAGAGTCCCATACTAAGAAAAAACAGCCATCTAATGCTTCTAGATTTTCAATGGTAGTCTAATTTAGATCAACTCATAAATTCAACTATTAAAATTATTACAGTCTCCACCAGTGAAGGAAACACCTTTTTGACATATAAACTTACCATCTCTAGTAGTTAACATTCCATTAACTAATGCAATACATTTTTGTTTTTTCTCACTTATTTCATTATCATTCGATTGTATTACTTTTTGTTTATGTTCTTCTTTATTATCATCAGTAATATTTGATGTACTATGATTACCAGTAGTAGATAATTTACGTTTTATTGTATCATGTTTAGTATTTGATTGATTAGTATCAATTTGTAGTGATTTTAATTCAGTTTTCTTTTCAGTATCATTCTCTTTATTATTATTATTATTATTGTTCTTATCTAATGGATAATTTGATTCTATGAATTGATCATATTGTAATTTGATACAAATAGGTTTAATATTCTGTATTAATTTTGTTGATAAACGAACTTGTTCTAAACGTGTATCTGGTAGATGAATACATATTTGTTGACCATATGGTATACCATGAATTTTTGTTAGAAATTGTTCTGGTTTTAAAGTAATATTTGACTAAAATATAAAATGATAGAAAATATGAAATTTAAAAGAATATTTATTTAAACAAATCATTATTGCAATGGTTAAGATCATGAGTCAATTGAAGTTAGACCACTATGGAAAACCACAAAGCACTACTAGACGGCCGTTTCGTCCTATTCTGCGAATCCTCAGCAATGCTCATTCACGACCCCACCCCCTGTGAGATCCGAAGCCAGGAAATACTGGTTTCGCACGCGAGCGCTTAACCAACTAGACCACTGAGCTGACATCAACGGTGCTAATGTCTAACTTCAACTAATCCACGAAATCGAGCGACACATCCACCATTGTCTTCAGTGAATTAGTAACTCAAAACAGACCTGGTGGAAATCCACTAGTCACTGCTTCTCACTAGAACTCCAGGATATACCTATTGAAGCCAGACACTAGTGAGGATATGTTGATTATTATCAGAGGGGTTTTTGTGGATATTATAGTAATTTTAATGGTTAAGACAGGTGTCAACATAAATCATTCGATTTGTGCGAGGGTTGGAATATTGCCTGGGTGTTCAAATTGAAGTAGGTGGTTTTCTTATGGGTTTACATCATGAATTTTTGACCTGGAGATTTAATCCACAAGGTGATGGAGCAACATTGAATGTAGTCTCATGGTAGCAGGTGATTAAAAATAGGTTCAGATGCAATTTGTTCTCTCAAGATCCTGGAGGACATGTGCACCAATGGTTTGGAATTGTGGTTTTCGAACTCCCCTAGGTGGACCCTCTGTGTCCACCAACCCGGGTAAAGCGCCGAACATTCGCTTTTCGTCTTCTAAATTACATGAATAACAGTATTGGTGCGAGAGGGTAGTCAGTGGGACTTCCCTGACAGTGGCTATATACCTGTGGCGGCCATATCAGAGTGTTTCAAGTGGGAGAGCTGACTATTCCTAACCTCGACCGTACCAAAGCATTTGTGGGGATTATTTAAGTAGAAAAAGATGAAACTATGACGACTATTCTATAGTGAATTATTCCCTGTGTATATTTCTACCAAGTATTTATTAATTATTCAATTCACAGGATTTTATATTGCATTGATTTTAAACTTACATGGAACTCCTTAACTGTCAATATACATTCTATCTTTTCCAAATTACTGTTAATCTGTTATAGACATATTGCTTAATTTACTACTTATCTTTCCTTGCTCCCAAGTGTCCTCATGCGGTCGAGGGTCGTGAGTCAGCTCTCCCACTCCAAACACTTTTACATGACCGCCGGTATACAGCTACAGTCAGGGAAGTCCTACTCACTGCCTTCTCGCGGAAATACTGTTGTTTACGAAATAGAAAGGATGAACGGTGAATGTCCGACTCTAACTGGGTTTGTGGATACAGAGGATCCACCTAGGGGAGTTTGAAAACCCTGATTCTAATCCAATAGTGCACATGAGCTGCAGGATCCTAAGGGAACAAAATAAATATGAACTTATTGTTGATCACCTGCTACCAAAGGACTGCATCTCCAATGTTGCTCCATTGCCTTGTGGATCATACCTTCAGGTCAATGGGTCCGGGTGTGCCCCCTAAGAAAACCACCTGCTTCGGTCTGGGTACCTGGACAGTATCATAGCCTTCACAAAAATTAATGATAACTGCTACTAGCTCATTGTTGTTGTGTAGCGCATATGTATTTGGTGCCACTTTGTACCAATATTTATGTGTTCAAAGAAGGAGAAAAGGCAGATTGAAGAACACACATTGTCGGGAATTGCAAGGAGACATCAAAAGAATGAATATAGTACTCGGCAACAACTAGAAAGGAGATATCCAAAAAGAGTACGTTGTAGAATCTTGGTCGGTGGCCTGTGATCCACGAGAGGCAACATGTGTAAGTAGGTAAGTAGGGTACTTTGTGGTTGATGAATATTATCAAGTAAAGTCTTCAGTCATCATAATAAAATATAAAACGGCTTGCTATCTTAATATTTTGACTGACAATTTGAAATAGAATCTGCACACACAAGTACCCGTTAGGATATCCGATCGCTGTTGGTGATCTTCTATGTTATTGGTTAAAGCAAAAATTATTGATATGATTAGCATAAAGAGTTCTCACTAGTGAACTCTATAATCCAGTGACCTTATTTAGTGGCCATAACAGATCGGAGTTGAAACTGTTGAATCCATGTAATGTCAACTCATTAATCGAAATACAACGTACTGCTTGTTGATAAGTGCCAATTAACACAGAGCTAAGATCAAAAAGAGTATCTTGGCAACTACATTTAACCATCAAACAGTATAATTAACCTTCAGACATAAAGAGTGGCTTAAAAATAGCCATTATTGAGGATCATATGGCTTGGATATGAGTAATATATGTTCCAAACAATCAAATCAATGAAGTTCCACAGCCTCATCAGTTGCGATCAGTCCTTTCAGGATATCTAAGATTAAATACTAACTACTAATCCACATCTATCTTCGAATGTCATGATTCATAGATATTCAGTAATACGGAAAGAAGTGTAGCACACTATACTCACTTTGTTAAGCAAAGAGCCATTTCACCCACCCCACAGATAATCCAAATTATCAGTAAGTCACTTGAATCTTGTGCATCTAAACCAAGGTTTTATCAACAGCCAATCTGTTGAGGTTATTAATACTTTGAGGATACAGTGAAGTATTTAACATACTCAAATGCTTTACTTCTTACAGCAAGACATTGGTGATAACCAGTTCAAAAGTAATAATCTGCGGTTTTAAGCCAACAATTAAACCCTAAACATACCAGTGTTGTTACTCATGGATTCTAAGTTATATGGCTTCACCAAAGACAGACCTATGTTGTCTACTTAATTCAAATTTATGAGACCATATGATATCTATTGAACAAATGTTAACACTTACCCAATCGAATGGTTTATCATAAACTTCTTGTGGAAGTATTAGTGCTAGTCGGGGTTCACCACAACGTTTTACCAGTTGATTTATTTGTTGTGCACCTATACGTGCTTCCATTGGTAACCAGTACACTGTCGCTGTATCACTAAGAGATAAGGATGGAGTGCTTAGCTGAGAGAATGAAATGTGGTTAGTAGGCATTTTGTCGGGTTGAAGAAATGGTGAAATTATTCGCCGAAGATGTACTTCAGGGCTACATAAACATTTTGAATTCCATTCAAACCTATTAAAAAAAGACGGAAAACAATAAAATTATTTGCAGATTGATGAAGTGTTAAGACACGCGGAATCATGAAGGAAATGATCCACAATCCAAACTACTAACTATGAATAATGTACTTCACACAGGAAACCAAGACGAGGGAGAAACAAAGATCAGACACTGAGGAAACACGGAATTGACAAACACTGTTGTTTAAAACTATTTGAGCTCAAATCACTCGATTATTTTCCATGAATAATAAATGTTTAAAGATTGTTTCAATATACGATGATGAATTTGTGCTTAAGAGATACGAGAGACGATTAAACCCGATGAGTAACACAACGCTGACTGAAGTAGGAGTAGATTGAAAAAACCACTTATTGAATGTTGATTTCAATAGCCATGTTCGCAGATGTAGAACACCCGGTCGAATTTAGTGTGATATTTCCGATCATCAATTCCAGACTATAGGTGATATGGCTCAACTTTTATCGCAGGTAACCAGACAAGTTTATTTTTTCAGTATCCTCCTAATTGTTAAGTCTCAATAATATCTTTATTTTTAGTTTTTTACTATATCGCTTTAATGTTAAACAATATTCACTCTATTTGGTTTCACTTTATTGCCATGATCGATACTACCAATATTCCGATAACTCCTTGCCTATATAATCCTTCATTCAATGTAACAATGAACAATGTAGATTTCAATTGTAACTAGAAAAGTATAAGTCTTTATCAATGAAATAAAGAGGTGTGGCAGGAACACTTTAATCACAGTCCAATAACCAATCTAGTACGACCAAAATGGAAAATTTTAATGAGCTAATAACGAACTATAAGACTGGTAATAGTCATTGCCGAGAATTATTAATATTAAGATTATACTTAATTTATCAGTCAGGTATGATCAACACAGGATCTATCATTCAGTCAGTCGGTCATAGTCAAAGTAGAACTTGACATATATATACATCAGTCCAAGTTGTCATACCACCACAGCATAGCAAGATAAAGTTATTCTAAGACAAATTCCAGAGTAGTAGAAGTAGTAATAGTATTGGTATAGTAGGAAGAAAAAAACAAGATTTGGGGATTCAGGATCTAAGGGAAGTCAAAGAGTGAACGAATTTTCAAATTGAGTCTGATTTTGATCACTGAGTTATAACCCAGTGTCTCAACAGTTGATTAAAAAATAATAGCGCGGACCGCCACCAGGTAGTTTGCGCTTGTGGTGTGGGTTACTTATATCCACACAAGTAGTATATAATGGTGGTCAGGTATAGAATGTATTTCAGCAGAACGTCGATGAGGATAGAACGGGAACGGAACGCAATTGGTATGAAAACGCATGAACAATGAAATCTGAGACAATGGATTGATGTTTGCAACAGGAACAACCAAGTTTGAGATGATGGATTGATATTTTGCAAATTAACGATTTACTAAATGGTTCTCAGATGTTCTGTAATTTCGTGTCAAATACATTCGATTATCCCCACGTGTTTCTTGTTCATTACACGCTTACCTACACATCTCAGTCAAAGTCTGTAACTTTATGGATTGATGACACGTCCCATTTGGCCGCCTTTAGCATTCTTCCAACCTACTATTACACTAGACAACATCATCCACGGAGGTAAGGGGATAGCGCAGAACACATAGTAGATGATTGAACCACATCAGTTGATGAAAGTACATTACCTTATTAACTGGTTGGTCGTCTTTATCTAATACCCTATGCTGAACTTTAGTTTTCCTCACTCCGTGGTCCTGAAATAGACAAGAAATACTAAAAAGAGACCTGTGATTAAAAGCTAGAAACCTGTGAATATCTTTTTATCTTAGTGACCATGCTTCGTACCCACAAAGAAGAACAGGGAAAATTGTAGTAAACGCGTCCTTTGATCGGACGATGGATATCCTTCCTACCCAACAAGTGACTCAAGTTGGAAACGTCCAACCAAGCTTTTGAGTTAGTGCCATGATCTCATCGGACAAACTCCTAGACACAGAACCTGATGCATGAATACATGGCGGCCTGAGTGGCGGAAATCACTATCAATAAAGTAGAGGAGAAAGTTGACAAAATAAGGAGAGCACAGAGTAGGGCGAGTAAAAATCTGAAAAGTTACACATAACTTCAAACTACTGACTATTAAAAACGTAGTATAATTTTTATACACAAAAACCATATATACGTATGGTGAATCAAAAGTTTTTCAAATCTCACTTACGATGGTACATAATCACCAGATTCTATTAAAATGATTGAATTATGTGAAGGACTGCTCGTACGACCACTACTGCCACCTGAACGTAAACCGCCATAAGCTAAAACACGGGTCAGGTGTACAGATGGTCCTAAACGAAGACTTGGATGACTGGCAAATATTAGACATGGTGAATTAGGCCAAATACCACCGCTGATATTAGGATTATTACTACTAGTATTACGAGTTGAAGAACTATTCAAAACAAATAGAGCAGAATCCAAGTTGTCTGAACTATTAGATATCGGATTAGACGCGTTTGTACCACTAGTCGCTTCAAAATACCCGCCTGATGAGGAAGTTGAATTGCCGGTACCCAACAGAAGTGGTGATGTTAAACTATGACTTGAATATCTACTGGCGGTAGATGAATCCGATAACAATTTTCTGCTGCATGAACAATCGTATAAACTTTTTAAAGCGACTAATTTACCGCATTGTAATAGCTAAACATGGAGTAAATAAACAATAATATTTTTATCAAATAAGAGTAAAATATTTCAATGATATGATGGGAAAAGACGATCTGTAAATTAGTAGTTTTTTACCTTTTTTCCCAACATATTATCTCTTGATATAGTGATAAGTCAGGTACTTGAATACTTAATACTAGACTTTCCGCTACAATTGAACATTGAAAGGAATCTCTACTTGTTAGGTTAATTTCAGGACAGAAAACAAGGATATTTATTGGGTTTATGGAAAAAAGTATTAACACGATTGGTAATTATCCAATCAGATTATGAAACTTTTCATAGCCTTTCCAAAATTTTCTTGAGTGTGTTCCGTTGGACGCTGATTGGAAAGTGGTTACGGCGTTTTTTCCAACTTTAGAAGCCTTTTAGGGAAGGATTAATTAAGGCTCTCAACCTGTATGATTTTAGGAGAGGGGAAGTTGTAAGATTAAGGACTTCTCATAATTCATTGAGTTGTCAGGATTGATAGAGTATCATCGATCATGATTGTTATAATATATAACAAATTGACTGGTTCACTGGAATCCAACTCAGTGATCTAAAGATAATACGCTCACTGTAAGCCCTAAGGATTTCGATTTTGGTTCTACATAACATTATGACTGTCCAAACTTGGAGGAGTCTCTAGTTCTTTCAGTTAATGTCTATCCATAGTTCCAAGTATATCACACATTATTTCTAATATGAAAACAGCAATTAACAACTTATTCTTAATTCATCAGTATTTCTACGCTTCGTATCAACACTGTTTTTATTGATCACACAGTGTTACCGTTTACTTAACATCTTAGAATTAGTTTCGTAAAAAGTTGTAAATAAAATAAAAGAACATATGGAACTCAAAACAACTGTCTCTCAACCAATATCAAATTCACAATCTTAAATATGAACGTCAAGGCACTTCTACTGTATGGAGCTGAAACGTGGAGAACTGCTACAACCACCATCAAGAAGGTACAAGTATTTATCAATAGCTGTCTACGCAAGATACTCAACATCCATTGACCGGATACCATCAGTAACAGCCTACTGTGGGAGAGAACAAACCAACTTCCAGCTGAAGAGGAAATTAGGAAAAGACGATAGAAATGGATAGGACATACATTGAGGAAATCATCAAACTGCATCAAGAGGCAAGTCCTAACCTGGAATCGTAAAGGGAAGCGGAAAAGAGGAAGGCCAAAGAATACATTACGTCGGGAAATAGAAGCAGATACGATGGGTTGTCTGCTTAATCAGAACATGTAGAAAGTCTGACAGGTATCAGATAAGTTATATATTCCCTTATCTTTATTATTGTGATACATATACATACACTTATTACTGATTGTTCATTGTTGTGGATTGTGTCGGTTTTGTGGTATGAAAATATATTCACGTTGTGATCAGGCTAATTACGTGTTCTTGAACTGAGCTGTGTTGAATTCCTGTAGAATAATAGACACTGGAAGGGATCTAGTGTAGATAATCGTTTAAGCATTATAACATTAGACGAAGTAATACCGAGCGTTCGACTGGTCATTTAAGTTTACATCAAATAGGCTTGTTAAATATTAGTTCAATATAAGCGGGATAGTATTTTGAAAAAGAATAAGATTGATACATTCTAAAAACAAAAAGAACAGAAAACTACGTATGTCCTACAATTTCAACTTACAGATTGAAAAAGAAATGGTGCATCAGCATTATACAAAACAGATTCTTTTACTGAATTTAACCATTCACCATAAGCATTAGAATATGCTAAACTAACATGAACTTGATTGGATATGAAAAATATTGGAGAACGTGCCACTAGACCAGATGATGATGATGAACTGATTGTTGTCTGTGCTATTGTTGCCGTTGTTGTTGTTGTTGGTATTGATGAACTACGATTGCATGTTAAATCTATTTCTATCGATGTAGTTGAATCGGAAGGAATTCTTTGTAATGAATGATTATTTATTGTTCCTACAGATGAAGTAGTAGCAGTACTGCTGCTGCCAGTAGTATTAGTAGTATTTTCAGTATGTTCAACATTATTTCCAGATGAAGGACGATTATGCATGAACAATGGTAGGATTGTACCATTAAAATTATCTTTGGCCTGAATAGCTGTTTCAAGCAAGTCGAAGATAATACCGGATGGATTTGACGGCACTAAGACATTACCTCCATGAGCTAAAGTTTGCACTGTGTTTTACCATACATTGGGAAGGGAGAAAAGAAGGAACAAAGTGAAGAAATAATTGAAATAACATAAAAATTTTCAGTAATATACCGGAGGTCAATAGGCGTGTTTCGTCGTATTTAGGAGTCATCGGATGGTGATATCTCTATTCAAGTGTTGACATTCACACGAGGACTTTAACCTGAAGCTTTTTGTCTCAAACGCCCGATGCGTTAATCATTGAGTAATTGATCCCATTCATCGCTACTAAATTTTACAACGGGTAGCTACTATTCGACTTAAGTGGAAAGCAAGTAACCTCAGCACATAGGAAAATACAAAACCTTACAAACACGATCAGAAAACAGAAATATAAATGAACATAAGTTGACCGACTGCAACAATTTGTTACACTCTATTGTGAATAACTAACCTGATTCTATCAATTACAAGCAGGATTATAAACCCAGTAAACTAATGTGGTCATTTTACAGAGGTAATTTTCTAAAAAAACAAATCGATCTTTTTAGATGGTTGGAGATAGTCAGCAAGAAAAATTGTTCGACTAAGATTTTGTGCTGGTAAGCATTCGAGGCTCTATCAACTTAATACCACACAGCATAGTGCCCCTAAATTGGATCGAGCATGGAGAAGGTCTGCTCTCCTTCTCAAAATGCTCATATACAACCACTGCCAGGGAAGTCCTACACACTACCTTCTCGCGGACATACTTTTGTTTAAGAAATTGAGAAACTGAAAAGCGAATGTCCAGCGCTTTAACCGGGTTGGTTGATACGAGGATCTACATAGGTCAGTCAGTCAGTCAGTAACAACGTGGAACTTCGTACGTACGTACATCAGTTCGAGTTGCTATACCTACCACATTAGCATAGAGATTCAGTTATCGATTCAAATCCCGTAGTGGTAGAGGTAGTAAAAGTATAAGTAGTGATAGGCAACATTAAGGTTTGATGATGTTATTTAAGGAGTATAATCCGGGGGAATAGATCTGGAAAGAAAATAAAGGACATGAAAAATTCAGAAGATTAGAGTTTGAGAGAACACAAAGAGTGGATGCACCTGCACCATTGCAAACGATTTTGAGCCATGTCATTCAAGATCTCTAACCATCGGTTGTTATGGTCTCGCGGACCCCAACCAGGTAGTCTACATATACCAACATGGCTCAGTCCACTTGTCAGTGACTTCATGGATTTCTGCCATGTTTTGGTCTGGCCGCCTCTAGCTTTCTTCCAACCTATTCCTACACCAGAAAACATAGCACGTCGGGGCAGTCGGTGGTCGGGCATGCGTAACACATGTCCCAGCCATCTCAACTGATTAAGTTACACTACTTCATCAATTGATTTGCCATCCTTACCTAGTACCCGTTTCCTAACAACTGAGTTACCTACTCGGTGGTCTCAGAATATACGAGCAATGTTTCGAAGACATCTGTGGTCGAATACTAGTAACCTACGAATATCCTCTACTCTTACCGGCCATGTTTCACTGCCATAAAGTAGGACGGAACGAACTGCTGCGCAGTAAACACGTCCTTTGGTTGATAGACGGATACCTCGCCTAGGCCACAAATGACGCAATTTGATGGATAAAATTCAATTAGCAATGAAAGACTAGACAAAAATAACACTGACGATCAATCAATTGTATATTAAAGTTAATCGAATAGTCATTGAAAACAAAGTAACGTTAGAGAGTTGTTTCGTCCAAGTTAAACACTTTCAAAACACTATGTATAACCACTTTCTATATGAGATTGGACCCATAACTGTCACGCATCATAGTGACTACAAGTAAGATGGGAAATAAGACAGAACTTACATATGACACTCGGATTTGTACGATAAGACATTGTCAGGATAAAAAGGATAGTACAACTGGCAGCCGAGATTTTGCTACCACTAGATTCAATACTCAATAAATAGGCTATACACAGACTGGATCAAGACTAAATATATCCAAATAGAATATAGGCTAGACAACACTTTATTAAACACAATTACAGGCAGTTTACACTCAGCGAGTCCAGAGTAGAACTGAATAACAAAAAACAAATCAAAAATTAAATGGTCCGTAAGTTGAGTCTTTTAGTTCAAACTCAGTAGACAATCTTTCAATAGTCACATATGACATCATAAACCGACTAATGTTGAATAACTTCAAGCAAGTAAAGCATTAGATTCCTACTGGATGGTTGACAGACGTTCGTTTTTGACATGACATGAGAAAGTCTTCAGTTTTATTTCATACAGTGGCCATGCCATGAGCTTTCGCCAATAAGGCGTCTCAAGAAGTTATTTATATGAATAAAGGTGTAAACATAGGACGGTTAAATAATTTCAATGGTTAAGATCATGAGTCAATTGAAGTTAGACCACTATGGAAAACCACGAAGCACTACTAGACGGCCGTTTCGTCCTATTCTGCGGATCCTCAGAAATGCTCATTCACGACCCCACCCCCTGTGAGATCTGAAGCCAGGAAATACTGGTTTCGCACGCGAGCGCTTAACCAACTAGACCACTGAGCTGGCATCAACGGTGCTAATGTCTAGCTTCAACTAATCCACGAAATTGAGCGACACGTCCACTATTGTGTTCAGTGAGTTACTATCTCACAACAGACCTGGTTGAAATCCACTGGTCACTGCTTCTCACTAGAACTCCAGGATATACCTGTTGAAGCCAGTCACTAGTGAGCATATGTTGATGAACGTCAGAAGGGGTTTTGTGGAGATTGTAGTAATTTCAATAATTGTTTAGAAATTGTTTAGAAATATTCTATACTGTAAAACGATATTGTCTGTTTACAATTTCTTTAGTGTTTGTGTTTACATTAATATTCGTTAACAGTCATAATAATGTCGTTGAGTTTACAGGTTGACGCATCAAAATCTAACTGAGATTCACAAGAGCCTTATTTGTCATGTGTAGTAGTATTTGAACAATTTGGTCTTTTTGAATTCCAGGTGATGCCATATTACTTGATCATTTAAATGATGTCCAATTTCTACTCTTATTTACAGTAAATAATCAACAAAAATTATTGGTTTAGAGTAACATCGAAATACTAGTTACACAAAACTTTTCATTGTTTTTATCACGAACTGTTTTTAGTTAAACCACTGTTGAAAACTTAACAGCATTGGACGTTCGTCTCGTCCTGTTGTGAAAATCTACGACCCCATATCTGCGAGCCGAACCCTGGACCTTCGATCTTGAGTACGAATGTTTAGTCTCCAGACTACTGAGTCGGAATCCTGAGATGTACGTGTCTTATTTATTTATGTGAACACAAACGGTGGTACATACGGGCACTGAATACATATGCGCCACACAAGTCACTTGACTTGTGTGTGGGCTTGGATACTGCCCTGGTGCTTAGACCGTGTACGTGTCTAATTTTAATGAATTCACAATACTGTGAACTGTTGAGGAGCCCCATTCTAGAACGAAACGACCACCGAGTGCTTCCAGGTATCAAAAAGTGGTCTGACTACGATCAGTTCATGATTTAATTTATGATAGTTTAACATTTTCCATAAATTCCTCTATACAAATAAGCATTTATCGTTATCATATCAAAATTTATTGAAAAATTACCAACGATATGACAAAATTCTTCCACGGTCTTTTCCAATTGATCACTTGCATACATATTGACAGTACCAATAATTAAGACATCAGTATCTTCAAATGTACTATCATCGAAAGGCTGTAAAATACAAATATTAATAATAATATTAAGTCAATCTTAAACAATACCATGGAGTAACATTGTATAATCAGTCAGTCATAGCTAAGTAAGAAAGTAACATAAATTCACAATTATTCAAGTTACCAAACTACATATTAGCACAGCGAGATGAAGTTTTCATGACAAATACCAGAATAGTATGAATAGTTACAGTGTCAGTGATAAAAGAAAGACTACGTATGAATGATATGATACAAGAATAATGAATCCATAGAATAATAATTATAAAACGATAGTTTACGTCACACTGGTGACCAAGACAATAATGGGATATTTGAGATTTTTCTAATAATTATCAAGTTCGTGACAACGCATGAAGATCCCGACTAGGAAACAGCGAGCACCATGTATCAATATGAAAGTTGCATTATTCAACGAAATCCTAAGGGTAGATATAATTCATCCACTGGGATAGAAAACAAAAAAGTACATATATTGGTCAAGGTAGATTATTTCACGAAATGATGCGAAGCTGTTACCCTGGAAAGAATTGATTTTGGCACAGCAGATAAGGCATGTTTTGATAATTGTGTACATAAAAAACTCGTTAACCGAGTCTCCTTCTTTTAACTTGACAAAATGTCATGAAGAAAGATTGTTTTGTATTCTTATGGGCCATTTTATTTATTTATTTTAACACATAGATATTGGTACAAGGAGGCACCAAATACATATGCGCCACACAGATCTCATTTGAAATGTGTGAGAGCTATGATACTGCCGGGTGCCCAAACCGAAGCAAGTGGTTTCCTTAGGGGACCACACTCCGAGCCTTCGACAGTGCCCTGGTATGGCCGAGAGTGGGGAGAGTCTGCTCTCCCTCTCGAAATGCTCTCACATGGCCACGTGTATACAGCCACTGCCACGGAAGTCCTACTCACTGCCTTCTCGTGGCGCGGGTATTGTTTACGAAAATGAGAGGACGAAAAGCGAATGTCTGGCGCTTTAAACGAATCCCAAACCAATGGTGCACATGGGCTCCAGTATCGTGGAGAAACAAATGGCGTATGAACCAATCGTTGGTTACCCGCTACCATGAGACTGCACCTCCTTATGATGCTTCTATTGGACCATTAGACGATGGAGATAGTTACTTTATTGCTTTCATCGTTTTATTTTCTTTTTCAGTCAATGAGAACGAAACAACAGTGTGGAATTCATTAGGAAGGTCTTCATGATGCATGATCTGCAGCTCTAGCAAGCTCATCATATCTCTAACGGTTTTCCCTCGTGACATACTATCAAGTATGGAGAAAAAGACCCATTTAAAGTTACACACACAATTATTAACAGTTCCAATCAGGTACAAAAGATATAATTAGTTCAGCATTGATTTTGTCTGTCAGCTAATGGAGACACCAGCCAACTTCCCACACAGCAGCTTCATTTATGTACCAGAAGCTCTATTCAAAAACCGTCACATGGTATCCCGTATAATATTGTGCAACAGTATGACATCATCTATAATCTTCAACATATCATCAGTGAATAAACTCTGCCGAACACTTCAATGACAAATTTGTCGAAATCCGAACAAAAAATAGCTGTCCGCGTTGTTTTTCCCATTCAAATTCAATAATTACACATCAAATACAGTGACATATTAAAAAGCACCATTATTATTATTGATATTATAAGCTTACTAGGACATGAGAATATAACAACGATGTGTGTGAGATATAAGCCACCTATAGAAAGGAAAGAAAAACCAGTTAAACTTGTTAAAATGACATAAGAACCAATTTATTGCTTGGACAAAAATACAAGGCTATTACCATGACGTTTGTAATGTCGTATAATTGATATAAAGGATTGCAAATGATCCCTGTCGAAATAGCTTAATAGATGAAGCATTGAGCATTTAAAGTGATAAGTACTGGGATAAAGTCAACATATGAATATCAACACTGGGATGCAAATGTACACCTAGTTGATGAGTCCTAAATAAGATTAGACGCACGTCTTGCATTTCACTGTTAGTCACATATCCGAAATACAAAGTTCATCTGAATGTCAGATATTTGGATTTGAATGATATACGGTTTACCAACAGAAAAAATATATATGTACCTTGTACCTTTGTGTCAAATTTCTGTTATTTAAATACGATTCTTTAACGAACGATGAGATCATTGAATGTGAATTTATCAAGTGACTAAATTAATCAATCAGTCGTAACGTGGAACCTAGTACGAAGTAACATCAATTCATGTTGCCACGACCCATTAACACAAAGATTAAATTGTCAGGCCAAATCACAGAATAGTAGAGGTAGTCACAATATCAGTGGTAATAGGAAAGATCAGGTATCGAAGATACAATTCAGGAACACATGCATTAGTGAAATAAACACAGGGAAAGAATTAGGAGGAATTCAGAAGACTAGAATCTGGGGAAAGAGAGGATGGATGAACCTACACCACTGCAAACGATTTTGAGCTGTATCATTCAAAGTCTCTAACCATTGGCTACGATGACCACGCGGACCCCAACTAGGTAGTTATACGTAGCACATATATGTGCCTGGTCCTCAAGTGGTGTCCGTCAAGGATGTCCACTTCCACCGTTTTTGTTTAACTTCATCATAGATTTACTGATGGAAATAACGCTCTCATCGACTGAATTCTCGGGTACTGATCTCCTACCAAGAGGTCCACTTATCGACTTACAATATGCAGATGACATAGTCCTGTTTGGTGAAGACGCTGATGAAATGCAGAGTCTTTTGGTAGCACTGAGCAACAATGCCAGAATGTTTAGGATGCGCTTCTCTCCCTCTAAATGCAAGTTGTTGCTTTAGGACTGGTCTGTGTCAACACCTGAACTAAGGATAGGGAGTGAAGTAGTCGAACAGATTGATAACTTCACTTATCTTGGAATTCTGATCAGCCCTAATGGGTTGGTGTCTGACGAGATCTCAGCACGGATTCGAAAAGCTCGTTTGGCTTTCGCCAAGTTACGTTACCTATGGCGAAGGCGAGATATTCATCTATCAATAAAAGGACAAGTATACTGCGCGGCAGTTCGTTCCGTTCTATCTTACGGCTGCGAAACATGGCCCCTAAGAGTAGAAGATACTCGTATGTTACTAGTACTTGACTACAGATGCCTTAGAAATATTGCTGGCATCTGCTGGGATCACCGGGTAAGTAATAGTGAGGTTAGACGCAGAGTATTAGGGAATGATGATAAATCAGTTGATGAGATTATGAAACTTCATCGAATGAGATGGTTGTCCCACGTGCTGCGTATTCCTAAACACCGATTATCACGACGCGCAGTGCTAACCGGTGTTGGGGATAATTGGAAGAAAGATAGGGGCGGCCAAACCAAAACGTGGCATCAGTGCTTCAAGTCACTAACTTCTGGTCTGAGCCATGTTGGTAGATCCATACTACTTGGTTGGGGTCCGCGTGTCTAACTTAACCAATGGTTGGAGACTCTTGGTGACATGGCTCAGAATCGATCACAATAGCGTCGGTGTATACACTCTCTGTCTTTCTTTAAACTAAGAGATTAAAATCACTTCATATCTTTCTTTCTAAGAACTAATTCTTTTTTCCCGTAATATGTCCTGATATGCAATCTTTCTCCTATATATTACCACCACTGAATTAACTACTTCTATGAATCCGGTGTTCATCTTGCTGTGCTAATGCGGTATGGCAACTCGGACCGATGCATTTATGTGCCTGGTCCTACGTTGCAGCTGACTGACTGAGTACCTCGGAAACATTCATGACCAAATACTAGAAACCTACGAATATACACTATTCTTGATGGTCATTTTTCACATCCGTAGAGTAGAACGCAGTAAACCCGTCGCTTACTTGGCATAGGTGTAGATCGCCTGAGCCACATGTGACGCATGTTGGCAAAAGCTAATCGAGCCTTCTAGATCCATGCTGAAATTTCGTCAGACATCAGACCATCAGGAATGATGGGACTCCTGAAGTAAGTGGAGCAGTTGATGCATTCAACTACTACACTTCCTACCATTAATTCAGGAGCGGTAGCAACATTTTGTATTTGGAAGGAGAAAACCGCATTTCAGACATGCTTGGATTGTTGTTTAAGGTAGTGATTAAGTCAACAACAACAACAACAACAACAACAACAACAACAACAACAACAACAACAACAACAACAACAATGTTACAACTCTGGAAGATCATGTTTTATTTCCGATAAACCATAAAACATTTGTAGGGTCAAATGTTATACAATTATAATCTTCAAACCACCTAACTTTATACACAAATGTCATTCAAAAAAATTAATATACCTACTTTAATGTAATTCGAAATTGAGCATAACAATCAAAAAAGTAAATGTACGGTTTATAATGAACCCCCATCGTTAAGGTTAAGAAGACTGATAACTACAAGCTGGTCGCCCCCAAATGCCCTGGTATGGCCGAGAGTGGGGAGAGTCTGCTCTCCCTCTCGAAATGCTCTCACATGGCCACGCGTATACAGCCTCTGACACGAAAGTCCTACTCACTGCCTTCTCGTGACACCGGTGTTGTTTACGAAATTAAGACGAAAAGCGAATGTCTGGCGCTATAACCGGATCCCAAACCAATGGTGCATATGGGCTCCAGTATTGTGGAGGAACAAATGGCGTATGAACCAATCGTTGGTTACCGGCTACCATGGGACTGCATCTCCTCACGATGCTCCACTGCCTTGTAGATCATATCTTCAGGTCGAAGGCTCGAGGTGTGGCCTCCTAAGAAAACCACCTGCTTCAGTTTGGGCACCCGGGCAGTATCACAGCCCTCACACATATCCAATGAAATCTGTGTGTCGCATATCTATTTGGTGCCTTCTTGTACCGATATCTATGTGTTAAAATAAATAAAATAAAATAAACAAGCTGGTCAACGCTAAATCCATAGTAAAACAAATACGTTAAAAAAACTCACTTTCTCCGTGCTCGATGTAATAATCCAATTACAACTGCCAATTCCATAGCCAGCACTTAAGCCTTTGATGGTTAATAAACCGAACAAATCCTGAAAATGAAGACATTTTTTCAACAAAACATATTGAAAAATACTGAATAAAATCTAACAAGTATTTATAATATACGTCGGGCTTGAGACAAATGTGCGTTAGTCCAAACTAACATAAAACATCAGCACGACAAAATAAAATTATTGAGATGAATAATAAAGGAATCGAAATAGTGTAGCAAAGACGATAATGAATAAAACTGAACATTGGGAATATACGTCAAAGAGACATGAAGGAAAGGCATGTATGACGGAGTACTGGTATTTGAGATATAAAGATAAAGAGCGAATCCAGTGTGATCGATCCTAACCCTTGTCACTCAACGTCTCTAACCACTGGTTTAATTTTATAGCCAAAAAGTGTCGTATACTCAGTCTTTGGTTATATAACTAGTGTTAGTTAGTTATCGTAAACCTACAGAATCCAGGATTCCAAGTTAGCGCTTGCCTCGTGATACAGTTTGATAATTTCCGTAATGTATGTCCAATCCATTTCCATCATCTTTTCCTAATTTCCTCTTCAGCTGGAAGCTGGTTTGTTCTCTCCCACAAAAGGCTGTTACTGATGGTATCCGGCCAATGGATGTTGAGTATCTTGAGTTGACAGCTATTGATAAATACTTGTACCTTCTTGATGATGGTTGTAGTAGTTCTCCAAGTTTCAGCTCCGTACAGTAGAAGTGCCTTGACGTTCATATTGAAGATTCTGAGTTTGATATTGGTTGAGAGACAGTTGTTTTGAGTTCCATATGTTCTTCAACAGTAGGAATGGGACTTTGCTTTGCCAATCCTCGCCTTTACGTCTGCATCTGAGCTTCCTTGTTCATCGATGATGCTTCCCAGGATTCTACATCTTCCAGAGTTTCGCCATCAAGTGTAAAGGCAAAATCCGACTCACACGGCCGCGTCGTGTCTCTTGGATAGTGGGACGAATGACTCATGAACTAACGTGAGCGGTAACCCGGGTGGTGGAGATCAGGCTAATCACCCACTCTTACCGATACCCACAATCTGATTACGAAATCCACGGAGAAACACAGCACAATTACATTTTGATTGAAAAACGACAAAAAATTTTCAAAAGTGGTGCATGTAACATACGGAGTTGCTCGTCATAGGGGAAACTCCAACGGATTGCAAAAACAGCTATTCTATCCCCGGTAGTTGTGCCGTGCTTCGATGTGGTCTGTTTCTCTCCAGAAAAGCCTAATAGGCTTCACCAACTTGTTTGGCTGGAAGGGGTAATCACAACTAAATAATTTGCTAATCAAAAACTATAAATTTCTGACTATGAAATGGAAAGTTAATACAAAGTTAAACTCAAAAAACATCTTTATCTCAATTAAAGCATTTAAAAATATACATAAAACAAGAATTGAACACTGAAATTACCACAGGTTCATGATAAGCGACTAGATGAATTTTATCCAAGGCTTTCATAACTGATTCACGAGTGTAGAATTTTGTCCAATTCAACTCACCAGAGTTAAGTAAGTAGTCTATTGGATTACTAAGTTTACTAATTTAGTTGAAAAAAAATGTAAGGAAAAAAAGGCGAGAAAATAAAACAAAATAAATGATCGAACTTCTTTAAAATATTTACCTTTAATAATGGTCATACATTATAGGCTTAATAAAACTGATTTATGTTTCCGAAATGATAATTACATTCAAACGAAAATCCTAATTATGAAACAGGATTGACGTTTGTGGTTAACTGTTATTTAACGGAGTACTAAAAACCAATTTACAAAGAAGTAATATCTATGGTTTCATCATTAATGGTGAACTATGGCTTCAGAGATCTAGAAGTCGGTGTTCAAGTTTGTGAAGTTATATCAGATTTTTTAGGCGAAATAGAGCACGAACTTGATCCAAATATTAAAATCACCAAGTTATAGACTTGAACAGTCATTTATTGAATCTGGTTTCCGCAACTGAATACTACTTTTAGTTTTCACAACAACAATTGCTCTTCAAGTTAGGTGCGTGAATTTATACTTCATAGTAGTGGTTACACAGAAACCATTTTAAGACACTGCTCAAAGTTTCTCACAACCAATATTAGGACTCTTCAGCAGTGCGCATCCACGACCTCGCCCCCTGTGAGATTCGAACCCAGGACCTACTGGTTTCGCGCGCGAGCACTTAACCACTAGACCACTGAGCCCCCAAATGCCCTGGTACGGCCGAGAGTGGGGAGAGTCCGCTCTCCCTCTCGAAATGCTCTCACATGGCCACGCGTATATAGCCACTGCCAGAGAAGTCCTACTCACTGCCTTCTCGTGACACCGGTGTTGTTTACGAAAATGAGAGGACGAAAAGCGAATGTCTGGCGCTATAACCGGATCCCAAACCAATGGTGCATATGGGCTCCAGTATTGTGGAGGAACAAACGGTGTATGAACCAATCGTTGGTTACCGGCTACCATGGGATTACATCTCCTTACGATGCTCCACTGCCTTGTAGATCATATCTTCCGGTCGAAGGCTCGGGATGTGGCCCCTAAGAAAACCACCTGCTTCGGTTTGGGCACCCGGGCAGTATCACAGCCCTCACACATTTCAAATGAGACCTGTGTGGCGCATATGTATCTGGTGCCTTCTTGTACCGATATCTATGTGTTAAAATAAAGTAAAATAATAAAATACACAACCAATTAAGTGGTTTCAGCCATTAATTTTCAATTACTTGCTATTAGGCTTGAAAATCGTTTTACCTGTTTCGACTTGAGTAGATATCACACAAAACTGTGGGCCGAAGCCTGTACTTAGTAAATAAGGCGAGTTAATTAATAATAAGCCTGTCTGTATTTCATGTAATCATGGGTTGTTATTATTATTATTTAAACACATAAATATTGGTACAAGGAGGCACCGAATGCATATGCCCCATGTTCATTCGACTTGTTTGAGGGCCGGGATACTTTGCAGGGACCCAAACCGAAGCAAGGGGTCTTCTCAGGGGGGCACACCCCGAACCTTTGGCCTAGATCTAATCTACAAGACAGTGGAGCAACGTAAGGAGACGCACTTTCATGGTAACAAGTAACCAACAGTAGATTTATACACCATTTATTTCCATAGGATTCTGGAGCCCATGTGCACCATTGGTTTAGAACCAGGGTTTTCCAACTCCCCTAGGTGTATCCACTGTATCCACCAACCCGGTTAAAGAGCCAGACTTTCACTTTCCATCCTCTCAATTTCGTAAACAATAACCCTGCTGTGAGAATATAGTGAGTCGAACTTTGTTGGTAGTGACTGTGTACCTGTGACGTGGCTCAAAATCGTTAGCAATGGCGCAGGTGCATCCACCCTTTGTGTTCTTCCAAATTCTAATCTTTTGAATTCTTCATGTCCCTTTTTTCTCTTTCCGAATTTATTTCACTGGATTATACTCCTTGAATAAAATCTTCAAACCCTAATCTTTCTGATTACTGCTTATACTCTTACTACCCATACCACTACGGGATTTGGATCGACAACTGCATCTCTGTGCTAATGTATTGTGGCAACTCGAACTGATGTACCAACGTACGTACAAAGTTCTACGTTGTTACTGACTGACTGACCTGTGGTCATGTGAGTGTTTAGAGAGGGAGATCTGACTCTCCCTACCCACGACCGTACCAGGGCATTTAGGGACTATCATGGGGTACATAGACGGACTATAAATCTGTTGTTCTAAACACACCGAGATTTATTTCAATCTGCTTCCACTTCAATTAATAAGTGATATAGATGTAACGAAATAGTTCGTAGCGCAGTTACAAAACTCAAAATCAATAACATAAAATGAATTTCAGATAACAAGATGGCATGAGAAGCCCCAAACACACATATGTACATAAAGTACTTCAATATAAACTTACTTCACTTTAGCATTGGAGTGGCCAGAGTTAACTTCAGATTCAAACAACTGATCAAGTTCACATAATAAATCATCGATTAATATTCTAAGTAAAATCTCAATAATCTTTTCTGAAGAAAAAATCTCAACTATTACTTTCCAAATTTTACAACTGGTTCAGTTGCAAAAACTTTCCCACGAAAATTCGTATTTTCAAATAGAAATGGTAAACCAAGGATACTTCTTGTATTCGACACTAGAATTACATCAATAGTTTCCCAAAATATGGAAGACATCTAGGATTATTAATAATTTTAAAATAATGTCTGAAATTTACAAATAAACTAAAACCTCTGATAACTTTAACATGCAAAATTTGAAATCCGTACTAATATAGTTCATATCACCTATTTTGGTAGACTGAAATACAAAAAATAATTATGTGCATGATAGGAACGTTACATAACAAAGAACTAACCATTCCACCTTCTCCATCACCACTCCACATATTTGGTAGGTCGGAACAACCTGGACTAAAAGCATCAATACACTACAACTAGTAAATATGAAATACAGACCTCATAAGCTGATGTTTTGGCAGGAAGTATGACAAATTCGACAAATCCATACAACAATCTAACAGCAGATTAACATCACGAATATGCAGAAGATAGCAAGGGTTATGAATATCAGTATTCAAACGCCGCTAAATTGAATCAAATATCAGAGAAACAGATAGCAGGCCACTTACAAGTACGAGTTTATTATCTGTATTCGCCATAGTTTTACAGCTATGAAGCACTTAATTCAGATGTATGAAAACTTGTTTCTTTTTAGGAGGACAGTTATTCTTTAGACAATTATTCCGTTTAAAGATACAGAGGCATTCTTATCAGGATGATCGTTCAGTACTCAAATAATAATGAAAATACGCAGCACTTTGAATACTTCTCTTGATGAATGATACCTGGAAAAGAAATCTAACATAATAAATGGTTTTCGGGAATTTGTATTGACTTGCACCGATGGTACGCTTTCAAATTCGAAGAACAAATTATAAACAACTACCAATCAACTTAGCATATGACATTTCTATTCAAATAAAGACTATTTTAAAGTGTGATATTATTAGTTGTATTCCGACCAATGTACTACACTAAATCACATGTTGCGTGTAGTCTGCTATTAGCTTCGGTAAATCCATGTCATCTAGGAAGTGGTGAATGAATTACTTATCTAACGAGAAATTGAGCCGTCAAACTGCTGACCTACAAGTCTATATATTTGTACCATATAGATGGGGGCCCGTATGGAACATAAACTAACAATATTACTGCAAGACCGCTCATCACACTAGTTATCTATGGAACAAGATAGTTTTTAAACATCAACTAGCAGTCAAACGAGGCACGGTGACCAATCTACAACGAACAGATGGGCATGCTCTGTTTTGAGGTATAATCCCGACAAAGCCTATCGACACTCCCCGGTTTTCAGGGCCGATGTAAGTGTTCAGAACTAGAAACTGATGGCTGCTGAAATTCATATTCGATAAACCAATACCCATTAGAAAACACATGCAACTAACTTTAACACATCAACAACTATAGTTTTGACCGCAATATATACCTCTTACAACAGGATTCGAAATGAGAGGACTAAGAGACAGTTGCTTCAAAAGACTACCAACAGCTTGTGCTAGTAAAGCCCATTTACGCGTTAGCCAAACAAAAACTCCAATTTACTACAAGCGTATCAATTAAGTCAACAATCAGATATTTTTTATTTCGACGCTGAAGAAGCTTGATAAGTGCAAGTAATAAAAGCCCGATAAGTGAGTAAATATAAGATCATTGCATTCAGGTGCTAATCTTTAACATGTATTACCAAATTTGGTAACACATGTTATTAGGAATAAATCATTAGAAATACGGGAAATATCCTGCAAAAACACTACTAACAGAGCAAAGTGCAGAGTAGATCGAGGTAAGAAAACGAGACTTATGAGACTTTTTCTACGAAATCGTGACTGCTACAATTTCAAAATTTACATTTTTGATGTTTATGAATCACAGGTGGCAGCGAAACTACATACTATTCAGGAAAAATGAAGGGCACGACTAAAAAATATAAATTTACTCTAAATACACATGCTATGCACAGATTCTTTTTCTGTAAAAATAGTCGGTGACTCTAAGCACCCAGTAAGCCGTTATAAGCAAGAAACATGCTTACAAACAACCGCCACTAATTCGTAGATGTCCTTCAAATGGTTTAAATGGGTCAAATGATTGTGGACGGAATAGAAGAAACTTTCGGACTAGCTCAGCCGGCAGCGCATTCCAACATTTGACAACTCTTAAGGAGTAGAAGTTGTGCCTGCAGTCCGTTCTACTATGTTGTGTCTCCAGTTTCTGGGTGTTACCCCTTAGGTTGGTGTTGGGACTAAGCTTAAGTAGGTGTGTAAGAGGATGCCCAGAAGTGTCAAGGATGCTGTAAGCCATTAGAAGGTCACCTATAAAGACGCCTATACTCTAATGGGTGAAGGTCAAGTAACTGGAGGCGCTCTTCATAAGGTTTAAATTTGAGACCCGAACTGAATTCGTGGCTCGCCGTTGGATACGCTCCAGAGTGTCCTCATCCTTTTGGAGTGTAGGAGGGAATACTATGTTTCTGTACTCTAAATGTGGACGAATAAAACTGTTGAAGATTGTGTGGAAAGTTCTCCCGTCAAACTAACCAAAAATACGCTTCAATGTTACCAGTGCAAGATTTGCTCTATAGGCATTTTTGTCACAGTTAGCATAAGAATTTAAGTCGTAGGGCACCAGGACTCCTAAATCCTTCTCGACTCTGGATACTACTAGAGAGGAGTTTCCTAAATTGTAACTGTAATCTGCGATGTGTCGCAGATGAACTACTTTACTCTTTGAAGTGTTAAATGTAAGTCCGTTGTCGTCTGCCCAACTTTGGAGTCAAGTCCTTGATATCCAAGACTGTATAAATCTACTGACTTCTTTGCGCTTGCTTCGAATAGTTTAAGTGGTTCGAATAGTTTTAGGAGGAACAGAAATAGCTTTTGCACAATGGGCTTCCGTATCTAGTAGCAGTTGACCATTAATGTTCCCAAGTAGGAACCTGGGTAAATTTAGCCGACAAAGAAGAAATATAGGTAAATTACGATAAATGTGAGGCAGCATATAAATCTCAAATTTCAGTAGCTCCGTAAGTTTTTGACATTCGATAATGACAACCTGAGTTTCACTGAACACGTCTAGCGCAAAGCGCTTGGTCACGCATCTTCACCAGATCACGGGTCAGTATGCCGTTTACACATCTCCTACAACCACCTGTCAGCTTAGATAATTCGCTTATCAATATATCGATATCTATCAAATATATATTCGAACCTTTTTGCTTTAATTTTTTATTAGACTGTGTTGGCGTAATTCGAATTCCGAATACGTATGGCATCTTCAAATTCTACCCCGTGTCCCTAAGAAAATGTCAAATTTCCTATTGACGGACCCCAAAAGGGTATCTTGGACCACCTCAGCAGGTAACGAATTTCAGTATTTAACTATATCCAAGGCGTAGTTACGCCAAAAGTCTATTCTGCTAAGTCAGGTCCCCAGTTTATAGGCATTACTCATAAGTTTTATATATGGTAACCGAACTTAATTAAGTATTTGAGGAAGTGGTCGATAGTGATTAGGATGCTATAAGTCATTATCAGTTCACCTTTGAGACGCCTATGCACCGATGGGTAGAGATTCAGGGATTCGAGGCACCCTTCGTCAAAGACAAATAGTTGTGATTAGTTACATGAACTCGAATTGCTAATCGGTTATTTATTCACAAGTCGGAACCTTGGGCGGCTTAAAGTTAAATGTAACTTGACTTCGGTAAACCACACAGAACATGTAAGGATGCCCTGGGTTAGTAAAAAAAATTGGGGGAGATTTGAGATTAGTAAAAGTTTGATTTAAACGGGCTTTTATTGGCAATCTATTTCGGGGGTTCACATAGCACCAAACAAGAAACGACAACCTTAATATGCTAGCTTTTTGCAATATCTTTAGTACTAAGTCTCAATTTCGAAAGTTATAATTACTATTTCTGGCAACTTCCACGAAATCACAATGTACTATAGTAGAATTGTGTGGCATGTTGAAAGGTAATTTAATGTTGAGTTTATTTTTCTTAATAATAATAAGTTATTCTCAAATAACAGTTTGTTACATGAGGCATGCCAGTTTACAGGCAAGATTAAATTGCTACAAATGATTCAATTTCCAAATGTTGTAAATTACTCAGATGGGTCGATAATTTATAAGATATGAATATAGATGGTTTTAGTCAGTATCACAGTTGGCGAACTTCATGAAAATTGCGTTGCGACGTGCAACTGAGGGTCGATAATAGATTCATGTGAAGTTGGGGGCTTCTAGAAATCGCAATCTTATATCCCTTTGAAATATTTGAGGCTTTAGCGATGGTGCAGGACAAGGTCACCCGTTCCGTATCTCAAGAGGGCTGAAAAATGGTGCAAGAAAAATAGAAAACAAAAAAGGACGAGAAGCAGAGCAGACAATGTTCATGAAGAGATAGTTAAGGTATGACTACTCAGTCTCATTCTCTTTTATTAAAGTATTTATTAAGCAGGAGCATTCTAATAGGTATGAGTGGATAAACAACTGACAAATGGAGGTGGTTCAGAAAGAAACTGAGAGTATGAGATTATGTGATGTTAGGCTCTCTTACGTTTGTGGTAAGTATGAATACTGCTTTAATCAAAGCCCATAGTTGGAATACATTGTCTCTACTAGTTCCATGTTAAAAGCAAATCAAATAGTTAAAGCTTTTGCATTAAGGGTTAGATGTCCATTTAGTATATCACCCTGCTACGAAGATAACTAGAGGTAAAAGTTAAAAAATAGGCTAGATCATATGTGGTTTAAAGACAGTAAGGACTAATAGCGAATCAAAGGATATGAAAGGGTATAAAACTGTAAAATTTTTAGGGTAAGAAAAATAAAACATTGAGCAACTCACAAGACGTTATGATCAATTTTGAGCTTCGTATGATCGGCCTTAGTAGATCAGCATCCATAAGATTACTGAGTTATCTGTTTACTTGCAATAGAAAAAAAGACATGACACTTATGAAGAATAATGTATATTTAACCAGTAGAGGGATTTGGGAACTGAGAGTGAGGGTTAAGAGCATAAGGTCTTGATTAATAGACAATGGATAATAGGAAGCGGCAAACCATATGTCCTGTAATTTAGTTGTATTCATATTAGTAATAGTCGGACTCGTTATATTCTTGTTCAGTTTAGATATTAGGTGGTCCATAATAAGGTGCTTCATTGGTGGGCGGAAGTCCATGGAAAGATTGAAGCTCCTTAGAGTCTAGAGACAAGGTTATTAGCCTTTTGAATCTGGTATATGTGTCACAGTTACGGATAGGCATTGGCAACCTGTTCCACAATAAACTATATCGTACTGTAAAAGACTTACAACGCATTTATTTTAGGTGTTTCACGGTAACTAGTGTATATGAGTTTGTAGAATTACGGTCTACTATGATATTAGCGCTGCTCTAATAATAGACCTAATCCTAAAATTGTAGATTTGTTATGATGTAACTGCCTAATCTATAAGATCTTACATGGAAGTCACATCATCATCTACACCGTCTCACTGCGTCGTAACAACTGCCAATACATGATAGAGAACAATCTTAGGCTGGAGATAGAATATATTTATTATGAATAAAAAGATATAAGGTAAAATTCAGCAGGGACCATGCCTGCATGGTCGAGCCATGCCATCTGATTAACTCCGATCAATTCAATTCATCCTCCCGCCTTCTCCATTCTTCTGTATTTCTCTGCGTTAAATGTTTATTGTGTATTTCTCACATTGCCTCGTGGTAGGGCCCAATGCCACTACGAGTTGTTTCTTAGTCTAAAGGCTGGGTCGTGGATCATAGTTGGGTAGGAGGTTAGAAATGAGAGTCCATATATCGCTTTGTAGTGAAATATTAAATTATTCTTTAGCCTACGGTGCCATAAGGGTTCGAAAGAGAGTTGCTTACATCTATCTGTGTAATCGGCATTCGAGTTACTTCCTAGCAGTTGGCGTGTGAAGCGTCTTTGAACGTCTCTTACTCTTATCTTGTCTGTGGTATTCATATTAGAGAAGATAGAAGAACAGTATTCCAGGGAAGGTCGTACACATATTTCATAGAGAGTAAGCTTAGCCTCTTTTGTAAAGAAATTTTTCATTACGGGACCAATTTGCCGTCTACATTAAGAAATAAAAGATGAGGCATGTACTTCAAAGGTCATCAAAATGATCTGCAGAAGTTTCATGATTGGTTTAGAATTTTGTAGTAGCAGATAGATGTTCCAATGTGTTTTGTTTTTCATGATAATCACCAACTTGCCATGCATTATTAATAGATAGTATTGAGCTATCTTTTTTAGGGCTTTTAGCCATGTTGATGCTCAAATATTTTTAATTTTGTATGTGTTGTTTGTTCGCTCCAAATTGAAGTTAAAACAGTCGGGAAAAGTTCAACTAAGTGCGAATTAGTTGAGTCCTGAAATCAGGAGGCTGCCGTACGAAAAAAGACTGGCATAAGCAAATCAATTTCCTTTGTCATACAAAAGGACTACAGGTGGATTGGTCTTCGTTTTATTCATCACTTCATCATAAATTCGCTTGAAACATAGTCTCATTTGACTTATTTCTTTAAAATAGAGAATTTATGAGGATAAGCTAGAAATTTTCAGAAGCTTAGAACAATTTACTTGTCATCCATTCATCGGCTCTACCATCAAATTATCAATGTTCAGCTGAAATCATGCAAGTATTCAAATGTCGATCAATATAGGTTATGGATAGTGGCTGTAAACAGGAGGATGCATTATCGAATCACACAAAACGCTTATTGGGGATTTACAAACTCATCAACGCAAGCCATCTGGAGCACTTAAATTACGGAATGCCTGCCGTCATTCAGCCTGTCCAGAGTCGCGGAAAAGAATAACATAATCTTGTTCAAATGTCAGTTACTTTTCTTTCATGTCATTTATGGTCTTTTTTCTTGTCTCCAGCCCTTGCAAAACTTCGGCTACCAACAACTTTCCGTAATGTTTAATATTTGTCCTTTGAACGTGATTCACTGATTTGACATTCGTTTGATTGTACCAAACGTTTTATGTAGTAACAAGAGTATGTTGGCTTTAACTATGATCGCTAATTATCAACCTATTCTTGTTGTCCAATAAATGGTCCAAAAAAACATTAAGAAGCTCGGAAAACATATCAGCTTGTTGCAAAATTGTAAATCACTCCCAGCATTCTTCGGAAGATATCCCTACTCTGAGATTGAATCTTGGTTTGGGTTAGACTGTTCATCCGGAGTAAATCACGTATATGAACTGAAGGTTGATATGGAAGGAAAGAAGGTTTTTCAAGCATTATGGATTGATCAGTGTTTCAAGAAACTCTCTGCCTGAAAGAATATTATAATGAAGGATCTCTATCAAAATTCGAAGGGCCTTCGCTTGAAACCATGGTGTCCGTGTATAACACAAACATCTTATTCTAGCTTCTGGACAGGTCGATCTATTCATTATTCTTGAGCCACGTTTTGACCTTGTTGATTATTCGCTTATCAACTTTGATTGCTTTTATATGAGTGTATGTGTGTGCATATCTTATCCTACTCATCACATTACTGCAACTTATTTTTGTGTGACTATAAACATTGATTAACGTTGATTGAATGGAGTTGGATCGCACGTCTTCTCCAATGAGCGTCATTTGATTTCATTCTCTTCTATTTTTTTCGACCCTCTGATCGTCTGTCCAGATCGATGAGTGTACGAAATATACGTATTAGAAATCCATTCTTTTATTGACTTATTTAATTCCGTTGTTCACCAACGCGGTCTGAGTCGATAATTATATACGAGAATAGTCATGATGTAGCAATCAGAAATGATCAAAATGAAGTAAAATCTCGGGCTATTAAAATGGTGAGGCCATCGACGACATCGCCCGATTTGATTGACATCAAAATGAAGGGCCCCACTAAAAACATGACATATAAGGTCACTAAAAACTGATGGTGGTATCTCAGTAAAGTTTGAAAAGTGCTTCCGATAACTAAATGTGCTTCCCTATCATATGTCAAACTGGGTTTCTAGTACAGGGCTCAACCTATAGGCCACATGTTTTCTTATTATACATGATTATCCTGTTTAATTCTTAAGACTCTCAAACGTATATACGCAGATGATCTTAAGACAAGAACGGAGATAGGTGGATCAGCTGATATTGGGATTTTTCGAAAAGACCTGCATAGGATACAAGACGAGACTACCGAAAACTTCCTTCCCCCCCCTATAACGAATAAGTACAGAATGATAATGATGAACGGCAATGATAGTCCATCAACGTAATTCATGGGATATATCATTGCTACACTTTTCTCCACTGAAATTGACCTCTGTCTCTTTCCACTTGCAGTCTGCATCCAAAAAAGCACGCTGACGCTTAGGGTTGCAGTTTTGTAGAGTTGGTAACTTCACTCTGAATCTGTTCAAAACTGTTTTTAGTGCCTACCTAAGACATCATTTAGCCAAGGCACTGGGTTGAGTTACTTTACTTCAGGACTAACATTACTCTTCTAGTACGTATATAAAGAAAGAAACTAAAAAGGTAGTGGGACCAAAACGTTCCACTCAGCTATCTTCAGAGCTCTTGACTTGAAGTCAGCCTAGCTTGGGTGGATTAAATTATATATCATCATGATGACATAATGTTCACAGTCCTCTCCTACCGGATAAACTTTTGATACACTTCAGCAGCAAGTAACACTCAGAGAAAATCTAGCGAAAACTTAAAACGAAAATCTGTAAAAACTTTTTCGCTGTTGTAATCGGTAAGTTCTAGTATTTCTTGCAAGAAACTATGATGGTGTAACTCAGTGCAGAATCTTTCTGGGGCTAAAATACTACCTCAGCTACCTAGGAAATAAAGGTTATTACTCTAAGAGTATCTAAAATGTCGCTTCTACTCCCGTTTGGCTGTTTCGGCTTTTAATCTGTAATAGAAATATTACAAGAACCACATGCCTAGGTAACCCAGATATAGGTCCCAAGGAACAAACATTCCACCGATACCGCAAAAAAAGTTGAAATATGAAAGAACGTCAAAACAGAAAATTAAGGATACTCAAGTTAATTGAATATTATTTTTTCCAATTGGCAACAACAACTCAAACTGTGCTTCCATACTTTAATATATCATATGCCACTGTTTGCCGAACAAGTAATATATGCATTGAATCAATTTAAATTGCAAAGATGAAAACAAAAATTACAGTTTTTTTCTACACTAACGGAAAACAACGTGAAACTCGGAGTTTTGTTTAAAATGTTCACTTTTCACACGCAGAGGTCATCAATCTTTTAAAACTAAACTTGTGTATTCGTTAGTGACAAGGTAATTCAGTTTTCATGTCTCACTGAAATACATAATATGGCGAAGAACGCCACATATTGTGACGAATGAACAGCAAAAGGCACGCGAATCCTGTTTTTTACATTTTTATTAAGATTTAAGATGAGCACATTTAATTGTAGAGTTGAAGTATTGACATTTTTTTTTAACCAATTCTCTAACGAACTGCATGAGTTTGAATTGTGTGTTCGTGGTTTGATGGTTGTCGGTCGTTGGATTTGCTTCTTATTGTGGATCCAAATTCTCGTTTTTAAAGTTTCACAATTAAAGTTCAGTAATTCAACCGGGAAGTCGTTCCGTGATAAATGATATCTGGGAATCGACTGAAAGTTACAAGTGGTTAAGCAGACTGTGAAGTCACTAACCACTTGTATCAAAGTAAAGGCCTTGTGACTGTAGATTGTAACATACCGGAACCCAGTGTTGAGATATAAAATAGTGTATTGCTAGGCTAATGTAGTACAGTTATCCTTCTTTTTCTGAAATTCCATGGAACCATTTGATGTTCTGACCAATCTGTTGGTTTTACAGATAAGTTGATAAACTTAATATTCATCTCACAGTTTTATTATACTCTAAGTCAATAATTGAGTTTAATGGTGGGAGGTAAATCACTGAAAATTCAAACTATCAGAACTTTATTTTTAGCGGTAGGTCTACAATGAAACTAAATAAAAATTGAAATGGTGTACAGCCTTGCCGGATACCACTTGAGGTTGAAAAATCAGATGAAAGTTCTCCATGGGTTCTGACTTTATTGATGATATTTGAGCAAAGAACTCCCACAAGGTTTATGTACTTCTGTGGTACACCTTTCAATGAAAGACACTGACACAGAACCTCTCGGTCTGTTGAGTCAAGTGCTGCCTTTAAGTCACTAAAAACCATCTTTGTTCTAAAATCTGACGAATGGTGAACACTTGGTCGACGCAGCCACAACAAGGTCTGAAAATGACATTTATTAAGGCTAGTATTTTAGAAACTCTATTAGTCAAACTAATAATTTTGTGGTTATCAGGATGATTTTGATCCTCACTTATATATTGGGACGATCAGTGGTTGCGATTGGTCAAATGTATTACACCTAGTTCCCAGATTTTAGCTAAAGTATCAGTCAACTTGGTCTCTAAACCTGGACCACCATCCTTAAAGACCACTAAAATTAATCCAACTGGACCAACTGCTCTTTCTCGTTTCAGATTATTTATAGTTTGAAGAACAGCTGACGAATGCGTTTCAAGCTAGTACTATTATCAAACAAGACTGCCCAATCCATCATTCTCTTTCTCCTGCTGGTTGACTAAATTATGAAGACCTTCACATCCCAAAGGAAGCACGGATTGCAGTGGACAGCTTGAATACAGCTAGACGATTTGGAATTCTAAGATTACCTAGCTCTTCTGCCCCATACATACCAACAAATCCAGGTCAGGACAACCAGTCTAGAAGCAGTCTCTGAAGTAGTAGACCTCAACATACATAAAGCAAGATCTTTAAATACATCATACTTGATGGAGAAACTCTGGAAGTGGTGGAGACGTTCACCAATCTGGACAGCATAATCGATCAACGAGGAAAATCCGATTCAGATTTAAAGGCAAGAATTGACAAAACAACGGCCGCATTCCTACAGTTGAAGAACATATGGAACTAAAAACAACCGTCAACTATTATCACAGTCACAATCTTCAGTACGAACGTCCAAACAGTTCTACTGTACGCAGCTAAAACGTCGAGAACTGCCACAACTGTCATCAAAGAATTACAAGTATTTCCAAACATTTGTCTACGCTAAATACCCTATGTCCATCCGCGGGGTACCGTCAGCAACAGACTGCTGTGAGAGAGCACAAACCAGCTTCCTTATGATGAGGAAATTAGGAAAACAGGTTCCAAATGAATAGAACATATATACTACAGAAATCATCAAATTGCATCACGAGGCAAGCCTTAACTTGGAATGGAAATATAAAAGTGGAAGGCCAAAGAACATACCGTGTCGAGAGTTTGAAGCAGACATCAAAAGAATGAACATTAACTGGAAATAAGTGGAAGGGACAAAGTTGAATGGAGAATGTTGATGGGTGGCCTATGCTTCTCCAGAAAGGGTTGCCCACACCATGGAAGGGTTTTTCTAGAGGTCTCTCAAAAGGAAATTCGGTTAGAATTGGTCTAGTTGACTTGCGAGCGTGGCCGCAATGCGCAAGAGATAACTGTCAAAGACCTGTCACACATGACCATTTTGTGAGTAATTTTTCTGTGAGCTCCGTACTTGTTGAAACCTTGCCAACGCAGGCTAAAATCCGTTGGATAAGTTGAAGTGCGCATTTTAAATCGTCGATCTTTTCTAACTCCACTCTTCCTTTGTGTGAAGGCAACGTCGCTGTTATACTGGTTGTCTAAAGGAAACATCATACTGCCGTCACACTCCTGTACATTGAGCAGTACAAGTTCGCCCTCGAACCTTGGGTTTGCTGCTTTTATTGTTACCGCTTTTCAACCGGCCTTCCTGGCATGGTAGGACCATGAGAAACGATTGTTCCAGCCAGTATAGCTCGATTGGTTCATCACAATAGAAAATCCCGACCACTACGTCAGGGTAGCAGCAAGGGTCGGGTCTTAACAGAAATCTAGAAATCCCTCTCGAAGTTAGTCAGTTGTCAGCACGCAATTATTTCAAAAATGTAAAAACGCAAAGATTGTTTAATTTGATATTTGTTTTCGTTGTGCGACGTCATGGGTTGATTAAGGTTGAAAATGAAGACAACTAAAACCCAACTCATCAGTCTGAATGTTAAATGTTTGTTATGTAACTTAAACGTATGGGATCAAGTCTCATGCCGAGATTATGAATATTCATTGGTTTAATCTAATTGTATTTTGTAAATCGTTCAGATGAACCATCAATGGGAGGTTTATTTATCGATTAGCAATTCATTAATCATCTTAATCATTAATTGAAGTAAACTCATATGAAGCGAAATTAATATTCAATTAATACATCTTATCATGATTGAGCTTGTATTGATTCCACTTATATGACGGATTCTTTAAGAATAATTGACTAAGTAAAGTGATACACTTCAGGTTCCGACAGGACTTTATTTTTACAACTTTGTTATATCAATATCTAAGGCATATTACTAAATCGGCGTGAGAGAACGTATTTGACCATTCTTGATTTACTTAATAAATTCTTCCAGTTAACTGAAACTAATCAAGTACAATGAACTATTACTATGATGAAATCATTAGGTAAGGTTCTTTTAGAACTTAATACGTCAATATTTCTTTAGCTAATTCTTGGATATTTAGACTATTCTTTGTAGCAAAACATATGATGTGTATTTTGGACTATTTAGGACTCATCAACTAAGTATATCTGCACCTCAATACCGATGATTACACCATAACTAGAACCGGTTACCTACTGTGTCAAACATCGACGAACTAATTTGCTGAGCTGTTAAGCCCTCATATTCACTAACATGTTCAATGATTATGAAGTTATTTGTAAAGTGTCTAATAACATATTAGTATTTGTTTATCTTATTTATTTAAATGCATAAACATTGGCACAAGAAGGTATCAAATACATATATATGCCATACAAATAATTCGATTTGTGTGAGGGCTAGAATTCTGTCAGATGGCCCAAATTGAAGCAGGCATCTGATAACATGTTGACAGTGGAGGTGATAGGTATTAGCTTCAAACGTTATTTTGATTATCAACACAGAGTTACGGATAAACCCAAGTGATTAGATTTACGCTTAAAATATTCATTAAAAGTACTAAGTACTTTTAATTGGAAGGTAAATTCAGTTCAGTATGGATACACGTCAATAGTGACTGATAGATTTCATCACTTGTTTTCAATAAAATGAAAATACAACTTGGTTTAAATAACTGATATTTGAAATAAATTTTTATGAATAATTAATTAAATGGTATCAGTTGTTTGTACACTTTATAAACTAAAATTGTTTCCCATAATCTTCAACTAATGCTTTTTCTGTAGAGAGAAATTGCAAAAAACTTTTGAAATGGTAAAAATGTATAGAAACTATAAACAAAAATGGATAATAGCTAGTAGTGGAATCGAGGACCCGTCTGCCGGATGTAACTCCATTCCAGAGTTGATGTTTATTCCGGGACAGTTCGCCTCGCACACCATCGTGTTATCCACTTAGCTACTGAAACCTGATAGTCACCTGCTTGTGTAATGGGTCGAAGTTGAAATTCGTTTGGTATCGTTTACTTGAATTTTCTCATTGATGTTTGTTTGATGTAGTTTGTTATTAACATATGTGCATATTGTGAGTATTGCCTCGACATTGCCTCAAGTCACAAGCATGATTTGCAGGAATGATGGTGGCCAGAATTGAAATCTAGGACTCACCTTTCGTCCTATTTCGGATGCGTCAGCTGGATGTACCTACGTCTCAGAGTTGACGTTCACTTGAGGCAATACGCAAAGTATGCACATATACCAAGAAGAAACTGATCAATTGCAGTCTTAAACATCAATAGGAAGTTTCAAGTAAACAACACTAAGTGAACTTAAAATATAGAAACATTTAATTCATAGAAGTAGTATGTGTTTCGAACATGATTTATTTCAGATTTGGTAATTTCTTAATTATAATATCTTGTGTATTGGATCCTGAGGCTGATGTGGTCTTTGTGTAATCGTATGGTCAAGTATCTCAGACTATGATATGAGTTAAAAGTGATTATATTCAATGTTTCAGCTTTAAAATATTTATTTATTTTATCTATTTGAATACATAAATATCGGTACAAAATGAGCACCGAATGCATATGCGCCACACAAGTCACTTGATTTGTGTGAGGGCTGTGATACAGTCTAGGTGCGTAGACGGTAGCAGGTGGTTTTCTTAGTGGATCACACTCCGAGCCTTTGAAATAGAGGTCTGGTCCATAAGACAGTGGAGCATCGTAAGGATATTCAGTCCCTTGATAAGCGGTGATCAATAATTGGTTCATATGCCGTTTGTTCTCTCAGGATCCTGTGGTCCATGTGCACCATTAGTTTGGAATCAGGGTTTTCCAACGGCCCTTGGTTAGTCCTCCATATCCACGAACCCGGTTAAAGCTCCGGTCATTCGCTTTTCGCCCTCTCAGTTTTGTAAAAAGCACCTCTGCCTTGAGAGGGCAGAGAGAAGGACTTGCTTGACAGCGTTTATACACGAGTGTTTCGAGGGAGAGAGAGAGAGGGGACTGACTCTCCGCACCCTTGGCCATACCAGGATATTTGAAGGCTTTCAAATATTTATCATTTTATCAATTCTGAAACTAACATATTTCACTGGAAACATGACAATAAGCATTTCATCTCTTTCCATGACTATTTTTCTCCCTTTTTTTGATTTTAGACATACAAAAAATAGTATAACTGAAGAAAAATCAATATTCATGCCAATTCAACATTTTCCGTTGGAAACAACTAATTGTACTCCATCACCATCAATTCAAATAACCAATGGAACCGAATGTAAAGTATTGATTGCTATTACTGTTCCAACACGTAATTGGAAAGTGAGTTACTGTTACTACTGTTAATACTGTCATTATTAGTATTATTGTTATTGATATTATTGGTTACTATTATCATCTGGTCTTGAGTGCTGTTGGAGGTATGAGGGCGGTTATAACTTCCCGGTTGCCCACAGTGTGGAAGGGTTTTCTTGGAGGTACCTGAAAAGGAAATTGAGTTAGAGGTGGTCGTAGTGACCTGAGAGCGTGACCGCAGTGCTCAAGGGACAGCTGATTGAGGTCGGTCACACACGACCGTTTTATGAGTAGTTTTTGTATTAGCCCTGTACTTGTTGAGACCTTACCGCCGGAGATGGATATCTGTTGGATAAGACGAGGTGTGCATTTTTAGGGTTGACCTTTTCTAACCCCACCCTTCCTTGTGGGAAGGCAGCATCGTTGTTATGCTGGTTGTCTGAAGGAAAAATCATACTGTTGTAACACCTCTGTACAGTCAGCAGTACGACTTCTCCTTCGGGCCTTAGATTTGTTGCTTTTAGTCTTGCCGCTCTTCAACCGACCTGTCTGGCATGGAAGGACCTTGGGGAACGATTGTTACAGCCAGTATAGCTCGGTTGCTTCATCACAATAGGCAAACCCGACCACCACGTCAAGGCAGCAACAACGGTCGGAGGGGTGGCCAAACCAAAACTTGACATCAGTGCTTGAAGTCAATAAATTCTGGTCTGAGCCATGTTGGTAGATCCACACTACTTGGTTACAGTCCGCGTGACTATCGTAACCAACGGTTGGAGACTGTGTGTGACATGGTGCAGAATAGATCACATTGGCATCGGTGTATACACATTCTGTCTTCGCTTAAACTAAGAGACCAAAATCGCTTATATCTTTCTTTCTATCAACTAGTTCTTTCTTCCTGTACTATCTCCTTATATTCAATCTTTCTTCTATATATCACCACCACTGAATTAACTACTTCTATGAATTCGGTGTTCGTCTTGCTGTGCTAATGCGGTATGGCAACTTGGACTGATGCATATATATGCCTGGTCCTACGTTGCAGCTGACTGACTGACTCGTCATCTGTGCAATACTTTTGTATGTTCTTATAGTTTGTGTTATTCGTCTTATTTAAATATATCATAGTCAGTAATTACGGTTGCTTTCATTCTTCTATAGAATGAATTGAACGCGTGACTTTTGTTATATTGTCATTTATCTTGTATCATAACTGTTTGCTTGATACTTGACACGTTTGTAATATGATAGAGTAGTGTTTTTGTCGTAGGGAACTTTTCATTCTTTATATAAGCCAATAAATATGACAAAGAACAAAATACACTATTTGTCATGGATTATAATAGTTTGAATAAAATAAGTTCTACTTCATTTTTGTTCACTCCCAAGTGTAAACTTAAAGTTTCGAATAATAGTGGAGTTTATCTTGACCTTACATTTGATAATTTCCCCAAATCCTCTGGTACAGCCGAGAGTAGGGAGAGTCATCTCTCCTTATCAAATTGCTTTCACATGGCCATGTGCATACAACCACTGACAAAGAAGTCCTACTCACGGCATTCTCGTGGTGGTGCTGTTGTTTACGAAATCGAGAAAACATAAAGCGAATCTTCGGCACTTTAACCGGGTTGGTGGACATGGAGAGTTTACCTACGGGAGTTCGAAATTTAACATTTTATTAACTGACTTTCTTTCTTTTGTTGTTAATCTGGACGGACATTGTTTACTCTATTCCAGTTAGGTATATGTGTATCCTAGGCAGATACCTTAATATGAGAATAATAATACTAGAATATTGGTAAAGCTATTTGAAAAATCCCTACTACAACTAAATCCATGTTTTTGACGAGCATAAAATCTCAGTCTACCATATAAATCTTTCCATTCGTTAATCAAACAAATAGGAATTGTTGTGTTGGGAACATAATATAGTCACTGAATATATATACATATCTTCCTTAAATCTGGTTAGCGTTTTTTAGCAAATTAGTTTTCTATGGGATGGGGTCACTAACCCCATGCCCAAGCATCCTCCTTTATCCGGGCTTGTAACCGTCAGTATCTCCAGAGGGGCTCTAGGCGGAGTTTCCTTGAGTTTATTCTGATATTTATAAACAATGTAAAATTCTTGAATAAGCTTTAAAACTTAGTAATCTGAAGGTACACTCATGCTCGATATTCTGAAGAAGGTATTAAATTCTGTTATTCTTGAGTTCTTGGATCATTACTATAACTACTACTTATTGTATTCAGTAAAAACATAAACAATGCATAACCTATTTTATTGTTCTCCTGTTATACAGATCAATTCAGTAACTGAATTACGTGTTTGTGTATTCATTAGACTTTAGGTAAAACGTGTCACATGAACTAGTTTTTATAAATTTCATCAAGTATTGGTATAAGTTAGACAATTATTGAAAATCTGGAAGCATTGGGCATCTATTCTCCTTGAGTGAGACACTTTCCAGAATTGCTTACCCATGTTCTCCTAGAGGTTCGAACCCTCTAGTCTATTGAATGAATGCTTAGCCTCTAACTCGTCGAGTATTTATTGTACTGTTTCATTATATCAACCAAACTAAACGTAAGATGCCTACATATGTAGCATGATATACTGATTACGTTGGCGAGACTATAATTTATGGACAAACCAATCAGATTTAAGATGACAGATCTCAAATTTTAGCGCGAAATCACTTTTTTCTTCATTTGATTAAATAGAGTTTTGACATTATAAGTGATGTCAGTTCGTGATGAAAATTCTAAGTTTAATTCCTAACCCTAACCATCAATTGTAAATCATAATCGTTACTTTTCATACTGCTTTATAACCATCATTTCGTTGTAGTAAGTAAATGAACATTCTTAACGTCATGTTGTAGTCACTCAAATGTAATCTTACCTTATTGTACTTAGACAATCATGATTAGTGATTGAAAAAATGGACAACCTTTGAGAGACTCTTAAATGACTACCAATGTCTACCAATTTACTAGAGGTAAATGAGGGTTATAAACATATGTGAAGAATAAAGCTTATGATTTACAATTAATGGTTAGGGTTAAGACTGAGATTTGTAGTTTTCATCATAAACTGACATCAGTTAAAATGCCAGGATTCTATTTAAACAATTGAATGAATGAATTTCGCGCTAAAATTTATGACCTGTTATCTTAAATCTGATTGGTTTGTTTATAAATCTTAATCCCACCGTTTATGCGTTTATCCCAACTATAGATGAAGTTGATCATATTTTAGTATATCATTAAAACAAGCATATCAATTTTCAATGATTCTTGAATATTTGTATAGTTTACATTGATTGACCTTGATATAATGTTCAATTATTGATAGACGTGTATTAAAAAGTGTATATATATGTATTCTAGTGTGTATAGATGCTATTAGTTTAGTCAACAGTTTCTAGTCCGTTAGAAAGAACTTACTTACTTACTAACGCCTGTTACTCCTCGTGAACGAGCATAGGCCGCTCACCAGTATTCGCCATCCAACCCTATCCTGGGCAATCCTTTCTAGCTCTTTCCGGTTGGTATTCATCCTTTTCATATAGCATTCTACTACCAGACGTAATGTGTTCTTTAGCCTTCCTCTTTTCCGATTCCCTTCAGGATTCCAAGTTACGGCTTGGATTTCTGTAATGTATGTTCTATTCACTTGGAGCGTGTTTTCTTAATTTCTTCTGGAAGCTGATTTGTTCTCTCCCACAGAAGGCTGTTACTGATAGCATCTGGCCAATGGATGTTGAGAATCTTGCGTAGACAGCTATTGATAAATACTTGTACCTTCTTGATGATGGTTGTAGCAGTTCTCCAAGATTCAGCTCCATACAACAGAACTGCGTTGACGTTGGTACTGAAGATTCTAAATTTGATATTGGTTGAGAGACAGTTGTTTTGAGTTCCATATGTTCTTCAACAGTAGGAATGAGGCCCTTGCTTTGTCAATCCTCACCTTTACGTCTGCATCTGATCCTCCTTGTTTATCGACGATGCTTCCCAGGTATGTGAAGGATTCCACATCTTCCAGAGTTTCGCCATCAAGAATGATTGGATTGCTGTTCTCCGTGTTATATTTGAGGGCTTCGGTTTCCCCTTGTGTATGTTGAGGCCTACTGATGCACAGACTGCTGCTACACTGGCTGACTTTATCTGCATTTGTTCGTGTGTATGCGATAGGAGGTCTAGATCATCTGCGAAGTCCAAATCGTCTAATTGGTTCTGAGCTGTCCATTGTATGTCGTGTTTTCCCTCAGATGTTCAGGTCTTCCTAATCCAGTCAACCATCAGAAGAAAGAGAAAGGGAGAGAGTAGACAACCTTGTCTGACTCCTATCCTTACTTGGAATGCCTCTGTCAGCTGTCCTCCATGCACTACTTTGCACTGTAGTCCGTCGTATGAGTTCCGGATAATATTGACAATATTCTTAGGAACTCCGTAGTGTCGAAGAAGCTTCCATAAAATCCTCCTATTCACATTGTCAAATGGCTTTTTATAATCAACGAAGTTGTTTTACAGTGACGAGTTCCACTCCATTGATTGTTCAATGATGATTCGTAGTGTCGCAATCTGGTCTGTGCACGACCGGTCCTTACGGAATCCAGCTTGTTGATCTCGAAGTTGAGCGTTTACTGCGTCTTTTATCCGGCTCAGCAACACTCTGTTAAAGATTTTCCCTGGTACTAACAGTAGTGTAATGCCTCTGTAGTTTACACTTATTTATCTAATAAACCGGGTCTATTGTGAGATAGTAACAATGGTGGATATGTCGCTCCGTACAATAGAACTGTTTTGACGTTCGTATTGAAGATTGTGACTGTGATAATAGTTGACGGTTTTTTTTAGTTCTATGTGTTTTTCAACTGTAGGAATGCTGCCCTTGTTTTGTCAATTCTTGCTTTTACATCTGAATCGGATTTTCCTCGTTGATCGATTATGCTGTCCAAATAGGTGAATGTTTCTACCTCTTCCAGATTTTTTCCATGAAGTGTGGTTGATTGAATG